TGTGATTACAGACAGGGCCCACACTTTGTCGATGAGATTATTACAAAACATAGCGAAAGTTATCCATGACGTCAACATACGAAGCCACGCCCCCTCGGCTGAACCCGTTGTATTTAGCATCTACCAAAGTGGAACGTGAAATTTGGATATGGTTTTGTAGTCAGATTTGCGAGAAAAACTTCAGCTACCCGTATTTCTCGAATGAGACGTCAGTGGGAGCTGTAATTCGTATGGCAAGGAGATTGAGCAACCCTTCATTCATATTAAGGGAAGTTACGCCCAGAAAATTTGTAGTTATTAATATTTTGGTTATAATAGAAAATATTCATTTTTTGGTGACGTCACACTCACATTAGTTAGCGTGCATACGTCATAAGCTAGATACGTCACCTACAGCGAATAGAAGGAACTGATTGAAAGGGCGGAAGTTGCTTCTTGCCGTTGTCGTCTCTATCTTTACTCGTTGGTGTCGCTGTCTGAAATGAGGGAACTTCAAACATTTCGGGGAATCCCCTATACTAAGCCAAATACGTCATAATTCAGGCAGAAAGGGTAAACCAAACCAGGCACTGGAAATTCCCTGCTAAATTGGGAAAATGTAGAAGCTTTTAGATGTACGATATATTTTATCGCTAAAATTGATGCTACGAAGGCTGTAATTAACAGCATTTCAGTAATCTAGTAAGTTGATTGAGGTACTGTACTGTTTATCCCAGTTACGTTATTAACTAGATTATGCCTAGGCCTACTAGCTACTACATACAGTACTACTATTGTAATATAAATGCCTAGGTTAGGGCAAGGCCTAGGCTCCGCTTTAGGCGGCTAGCTCATAGATAAGAATTATGGCCTAGACCTAAATACTGTATGATAGTACTGTATGTAGGTAGGCCCATGGATGATCCTTGATGCCCTATCAAAGGAATAGAGGGCCTAACTACCAAGTATCAAATCCCAACTGAGGTACCTTTTCGTGTATTTAACGTAAACATGTAAGGAGGGCTGGGTGGGTGGATGATTTATAATAGATAGCCTATGACATTTATGACTGTGTACGGTAATCTGCATACCGAGCCAGAGGGCGGGGACCGCAAGCCTAGTCAAAAGATTGAATGTGATCCTAACAGGAAGCTAGGCCATAAAAGCTGTCTGAATTGGATTGGATTCAGTAAGCCTATTGAATAGATTTTAGTTGGATAGCCTAGCAATCAATCAACAAACATTTTTTATCAGCGGCAATAATTCACGGCAGAATACAATGTTCAGTGAGTGGTGCTATGACATGTATTACTCAAAGTGCACATTAACTAGGCCTACTACTGGGGTTAATTAATATTACTATATATTATTACAAGTCCAAAAAGCTGCCTGGAGTTTACAAGTTAGTCATCCTCCCAAGAAAGTAGCTCCTGATATGACACAAAATTATGCCTAAAAACTGCCTGGATGGATGACAATTATGTTATCCTCCCAGGTGCTCCTCATGGTTCAATAAAAAAAAAGTTAGGTCTAAATAATAATATTATTATTATGTTCAGTTGAACAGTTTTCTTTAAAATGCACAATTCAATGTAAAATACAAAAGCACAAACACTTAAGCTAGTTTAAAATACACAAAAATAATGCAGACAGTTAAGTATGAAAAATATTAATGTGTAACAGAATGAACTAACAGGCACACAGATGTTCAATGATAGTGTATTATTGCACTGAGATATGTTCAGAGTATCTGAATAGTTATCCCTCATGTTTATTTGTCTTTTATTTTCTCAGTCGTTTTAAGAATTTTCTCAATTTTGTTAATGATTTTATTCAGCTACTGTACCTATTAAAACCAAATTCTAACTCCACCCCCATAATTGAATATGATCCAAAAAGACCCATTTTTAGTTTTGTGTTGAACTTTCAAATCTGGGCAAGGTAGAGTCTTGTTAATAGTGAAATTAATACAGTGTATAGCTACTGTAGCATTAGTTTGAGTCAATACAACCAGCAATATGAGGGTGTAAGAAACAGTTTATGCCTAGGAATTCATGAATACTGCCATACTCTTTGAATAGCTACTCTCCATGCTTTATAGATATTCTCAATTTTTTATCAACCGTATTTAGAATAGAATGTTTTCTTAGGAAACTTCTTAACTTCTGTCCAAATGTCAGGCCAGCTATTTGTAAGTGCTTCTGCTATTTTGTTGGATCTCAGTTTCCTTCTTATTTTAGTACAGTACCTCTTTACAAGCTTTATGGTATTGGGCCCTAGGTTTTCTTTTAATGTCCGCAATGTAACCTTCACTTGGCTGGCCACATTGCTTCCATTATGTCATGCCACATTAGTATTAGTGAATCATTTGTCAACATGATCATTCAGCCGGGCACTGCTTTTCTTAAAACTGATCTTTGGTTCGGAATGGCAAATTTACTTAGGCTTGGATAATATTGTCATGCAGATAATGTATGTAATCCCTATGCAATTCACAGTTAGTATTAGTATATAATAAAGCATCCCAGAATAAATAGAATTTAGATCATTAGGAAGACATTTATATTTATCAGTAAATGGTTATTAGAGAGTTTTTTTTCTGTATTCAGTATAATTTATTGTCATTTGTAAAATTCATTTTACATAGAAATAAAATTGCAAGAGTCCGCTCATAAACAGAAAATAATAACTGGGTAAGGCAGTAACAGTACCAGGTAGCAAAGTAACCCTGGCGGACACCATCCCAGTATTTTTATGCGAGGTGTACTGTTATTACATGAATAACTATGTTATTTATGTGGTTAGGCTGTAATCTATATAATAGATATTGGATTTTTTTCAGATATTAAAAAAAACATCAAAATAAAACATGAATATTGGATGTCGAGTAGTAAGGGGGCCAGATTGGGCTTGGAAGGACCAGGATGGTGGAGAGGGTCATGTTGGAACTGTTGTGGAAACAAAAAAGCAAGCTTCTGAAGGAAGCATTTGGATCCAATGGGATATGGGAGGAAATAATAAGTACCGAAATGGACACAAGGAGAAATTTGACTTGAGGGTTTATGACACAGCTCCTGCAGGTACGTTTTTATTGGAGGCACTCCCCACTGTGATACTGTGCACACTTCAAATGATCACTTTTTTTACTGAATTTTTAATACATGTCCTAAAATTGATTATTACTAGCCAAGTAAGACTAAGAGTGCATGCAAGAAATATGAATACAGAAAACACTTCAATTTGTGACCCCTCTAATTCCAAAACCCCTTTAATTTGAGACCACATTGAAAGAACCAAATAATAATCTCCAATTTTAACGCAAAGCCAACCTGCAAAGAAGAGACCAAACCCCAAGATCACTTCAAATTTTCAGGTGGTCTGTTAATTGGTAAGGGAAATATTTACATATTATAAATTTCAATCAATTAAAAGCTAATGTTAAGTAAACAATTCAAATACCTAATTAAATTTTGTTTTTAGCTCATATTTTTGTTTTTAGCTCATGTACCTACAAATACAGTTGGTTTATCCTCCCATTTGAGATGACCTTTGGGACCTGAAAATCTTATAGTGGTCTCAGGATTCGATCTCTAGAGGATTTACTTTCAAGATTGAAGATTGTTAGTAGGTACTTTGAAAAAGTAGCCTCTTGAAATTGTTTATGAGCGGTACATTCAAGTGTTAATAATAGTGTATTTTTATATAGTGCACATATCCATCTAAGATAAGATGCTCAGGGTGCTTGATATGTGGACTAGGAACTCGATCAATGACTTTCTTCGCCCCTAAGGGTCCCTTCGTGTCTGTGCTACCCGGTAACACGGTACCAGCAACTCTCGTCTTCCACCACAGGGGCTGTCTGTTCCAGTACACCGGGGTATCCCCCTACTCGTCTCGAAAGATGTACTGGGTTCTTTATATTGTACACGAGCCATTGTATACACTGGGCCAAATGTTTATAGTCCTTAACTGAGAAGACTTGTTCTACAACCAGAACCATAGACGAGCGTGCTGTTTCGGAACAGCGCTGATATTTTGGCTATAGCTTGCGGCGCCCCTGCTAACCGCTCGGCCATTCGACTCCATGTGTTTACTGTGATGCCTGCAGGTACGTTTTTAATTGGGTGCACTCTCCACTGTGATACTGTACACACTTTGAGTGATCACTTTTTTTTACTAAATTTTTAATACACATCTTAAAATTGATTATTACTAGCCAAGTAAGAGTGTATGCAAGAAAGATGAATACAGAACACACTCCATTTCCAGACCCCTCTAATTCCAAAACCCCTTTAATTCAAGACCACATTCAAAGAACCAAATAATAATCTCCAATTTTTAACGCAAAGCCAACCTGCAAAAGAGGAAACCAAACCCAAAGTTCCATTAATTTGTAAGGGAAACATTTAGTTATTTTAATTTTCAATCAATTGAAAGCTAATACTGTACTTGAGTAAACAATACAAATACCTAATTTAATTTTGTTTTTAGCTCATATTTTTGTTTTTAGCTCATGTACCTAAGAATAAGGTTTGTTTATCCTCCAATTTGTGATGACCTGTGGGACCTGAAAATGTTAAAGTGGTCTCAGGATTCGATCTCTAGAGGATAATTTAAAGGATTGAAGATTTTTAGATTGTTGTGAAAAAGTAGCCTCAGTTTAGAGCGGTCTGGAATTGGAGGGTGAACTGTATTGATGTTAATTATTTTTTTCCAGGAGTGGTGCATCCAACCATAACCTGTGATGCTTGTCATGAGAATGGTTTGTGTGGGATCCGCTGGAAATGCAATGACTGCTATAACTATGATCTATGCAACAGCTGTTATATGGGGGACAAGCATGATCTTAAGCATGTATTCAAACGCTTTGATTCAACAAACTCAGATGGGTAATGTTGCATCTCTTTATTCTTAAATCTTATTAATTTTTTCGCGAACTTTTCAAATTTTTTCGCGAACTTATTTTTTTAAAGATTGTCAGAGGAGGGCGGAAAAAAAACAAAATATTGTTTACTTATTTAGAAAATACTTTTGCCAAAACATCCAGACGGAGGAGAAAATAAATATAAAATTTTACTGGTGAATATATGCAGTGTAGTAATTCATTTTTCATTCATTTATTTATTCGACCAATGCACATTTACAATAGGTACAATACAACCAGTTTTGGTCAGGGGCAGCTTAAGCATTTAAATTTTGCTCCAATAATAAATAATAAGGCCATGTAAAATAAAATAATTGGTTAACATCCTTTTGGTATCAAATTTCATGGTAGGGAGAGAGGTTTTGTTTTTTGTTCTTTTTTTTTCTTGTCGAACATGAAAAACCAGCGTCGGAAGGAAAATTAGCAAAACAAAGAAGAGGAAAAAAACAGAGGCCAAAATTGGATACAAGAAATCATGTAATTCATCTATAGCAAGCAGATAAACTTTGCCTATATATATTTTATTATCTTTCCATCCATATTTAGTCTATCTTTAAAATTTTATTTCTTGAAATATTGCACACAGGTAAGTGAATACGCCACAGATTTAAACTGATGGGCGCAGCCATGTTTGTTGTCTTGTCTTGTCTCCGCTCACCACAGAGCGTTCCTCCTTGTTTCTTTTTCGCGCAGTGGATGTCTCTATTTCCAAAGTGATGGAAATACTAACGCGCTGATTGGCTCACTTGGCTTTATCTCTAACTAATTCAATGCAAAGCATGACGTAAGCATCGTGTGTTTTCTTTTCCAGAGGTAGGGCTAGTTAGGCCTTGCTAATTTAAACCTAATCCTGAGTAAATCTTACTGCTTTGCATTGGCTGCCGTGTATACAAATAGACTCTTTTTATGCTACTACAAAACTAGGCCTAGATAGAAGCTAGAAGGACTAGCCTAGCTTAGGCCTAGACGGGACGATGATGGAATAGAACTGCTGGGGAGAAGCCCAGCCGGCTAGCGTTGGGCGGATGGTAAACAAGCCTAGGCCTATATATTGCCTTCGGGAGATGGAGTTTTTGAGTATTTTGTAAAAAAAAAAGTCAGGTCGGGGGCTTTTCCAACGGTCGGGCAGGGATGCTAACCAATTATTTTATTCTACGTGGCCTAACATAAAAAATCCCATTTAAATACAAAATATAATGAAATGCTAAAATTTTATATAATAAAGAAATATACATATCTTATTTTTTGAGATTTCAAGGCAGCGGCGGGCGTAATAAAAATAAAGGAAAATTTTTATTTTTTTCCGAAATTTCCACTTTTGTGGCAACGGGTGCCTTATTGTCCAAAAATGAAATGTTATTTGTATTCAAAATCATCATTATTGGCAGGTGGTGGGTTCACTAACAAGGTATAAAAAAATTTTTATTGACTTTCTTTTTAAAAATTGGGACATTATGGAAGCAGTTTTGAGGAGCAATCATAATGAGATCTCTTCCATTTCCCTAATGTATCTGAGTAAAATAAATGATAATAATTAATGATGTTATTTTTTTTATTGAGCTTTAATACTTGCATTTGGATGTACAGTTGTGTTTTTTTTTTTAATTTTGTCATGTAGTGTTGTTGTGCCATGTAGACTCGGGGCTGTGAAGTTAAAAGCTTATGGAATCTTCAAAGATGCTAGTGTTGAGTGTGCAAAAAATGCAGATATAAAAGGTTTGAAAGCAATTAGTACATTGTATAATTGGTTATAGTGATAATATATTGAATACATTGTGGAGGTATGATCCATTTGGGTCCTTGATGCCTTTGTTCGCATCTTTCCATAGCTAGACATGTATGCCATAAGCTCTAGCCAGACTATCACCTTTTATTTGACAAAAAATATCATCCCATATATAGTCATGATGTGCCTATATATGGTCATGATGTGATGTCATCATTCCCATAGCATCAAATGTATTTGTCAAATAAAATTTGATAGTCTGGGCAAGGCTTTATAAATATCCATTACAGCTAAGAGTTTGGAGAGGTGACCATTGGGGCACTTGATGTTTCCAAATTACTTAGGTAGGCTCTGAATTTCCAGTCTATAACATGTCTATATGAGGCTGTATGGTTCTTCAGTCTATAAAATGTTGATATGAATGAGGCTTTATTGTCCTTCAGTCTGTAATATGTCTATATGAGGCTTTATGACTTTTAAGTCTATAATATGTCTATATGAGGCTGTATGGTTCTTCAGTCTATAAAATGTTTATATGAGGCTTTATTGCCTTTTAGTCTATAATATGTCTATATGAGGCTTTATGGCTTTCCGGTCTATAATATGTCTACATGAGGCTCTTTTATGTCTCTTTTTTTTGTCACTAGTGAATATATCACTGTCCTACTTATAGGTGACAATTTCTTACACAAGACAAGGGAAACATACACACACAATGCTTTACACAAACTAAATCTCAATATGAGATTTAGGGAGTGGAGTTGTTTATGTCGTGAGAAAAAATCCTGCAACACTGACAGGAATTGAACCCATGACCTTGGGATTGGAAGGCAAGCATCTTAACCATCAAGCTATTCAACTCCACTCCAGTCTTCAGTCTATAAAATGTCTATGAGGCTTTATGACTTTCGAGTCTATAATATGTCTATATGAGGCTTTATAGCTCTTCAGTTTATGTCTACATGAGGCTTGGGGATCAGGAAAGCTGATCATTTGGGATGTTTGATGCATCTCGATAAACTTGGAATGTAGAGCTTGAGTCCAGGATGCACTAATATATTTATGAGGCTTGGGGTGTAGAGAGCTGATCATTTTTTCTTGCTAATTATGTATTTACAAATTATAGGGAGTGGAATGCTGATCATTTGAAGCCATTGAGGATGTACTATCAGTCAAAATACAGAAAAATTCATTCACAAACATTTTACTGCAAAATCCTTAAATTGATTACTAGTCAATTTAAAGATTTTTGTAGTAAAATGTCTGTAAATCAGTGAAAACGAGTTTTTCCCAATCTGTTTCTTGATGGAAGCTAATATTTATTTGTAATCCTTCCAAATGAGCTACTGTATTCAAAATTTTATTTAATTGTTGGTGTATTTTTCTTGACTGATACAGTAGTAGGCCTACATCTTTACTGCTAAATCTATGTTCACGTCAAGCCCGGATCCAAAAAATCATAAGTTGTTACCTTTTTCTTGACCGCTGCGTTCATATTTCACACGGAAAAACCTCTGGAGAGGTCATTCATGCTCTGCTCTCAGATCCATCTCCGGAGTCAGGTTGAACCCATTTTGCATGATTTTTTTGTCAGGGCACCAGACCAGATCCGAGCTTTGGTGTGAATGTAGCTTAATTAAGTTGAGTTGTTTGGTCATAAACAGAATCCTAAAGATTGAACCCAGGACCTTGTTGTTTGTAGGCGTGCATCTTAAACAAGCCACTGCTTCACCTACTGTGCTTTTTTCTAATAAACACTCTTTTACATTCACTTTTTTTTTTAATTGGGTGAATTTTTGCTTCTTTAACAAATTTGCAGATGCCGTGGGCACAGGCAAAGTAACAAAAGTTGAAAAGATGGGCAATGCTGGCCGCAACGCTGTTGAAGTGAAATGGGAAAATGGGGAGGTGACTACTTGTAAAGTTGGTTTTGAGGGCAAAGTAGAGTTAAAGTGTGTGTCAGAAGCAGAGGGAGGTTCTTATTATAGAGACCATCTTGCATCATCAAGTGAGTAATGTTGTTTTATCATGTAATATTTTATTGTATTGTAATGTTGTTTTATCATGTAATATTGTATTGTAATGTTGTTTTATCATGTAAAATTGTATTTTATTGTAATGTTGTTTTATTAATCAAAGTGTTTCTTAGAATAGCTATATTTTATATATAGCTATATATATATATATATATATATAGTTATATGTTATTTCACTATTAGTTATTTTTGTATTGATAATTTAAGTGTGTAGCACTAACAATAATAAAACTAATTTTTTTTCATGACTCGGGGCATCATTTTTTGTTGTGGTCTACTGGTACTGGCATTTATAATGCGTGTGGTTATTAAGCGTACCTATTTTGACTCCTGGGTGGAGAGAAGCAATGCAGATAAAGAGCCTTGTTCAAGGACACAAGCAAAATACACAGCGAGGGATTGAACCTCGACCTGGAGGTTGGGGAACCAAACGGTCCCTGTTGCACCAGGCCGAAGCAGAAGCTGGTGTTACATCAAATTTGCCAAGTGTATTTCTGCGTATATGCACTAATGAGAATGATGCTGCCTCGACATTAGTTGTTGAATCTCCCTCATAAAGCACTATGGCAAATTAATAAAATTATAGATAAATAATTAAAACCAAATAGCTTATACCCCAATGGGGTCCTTTGTCAGACAAGCATGTAATTGGTGATCTGGGCTCTGGACAATTTAAAAAAAAAAGAATGATGAAGAATTTCTGCCAAGGTTTAAAGGGAATTATATTGAATGTATAATGTCTAGTTGTGTTAAAGTAACGTTTGTAATTAACTGTCTTGAAATAATTTTTATATATTGTAAATATTACATTTTGTAACACCATGTAATTCAGCTTATATGCTGCGAATTGGTTTGTTGAAATAAAAGACAAAGATAAGAGAAAGATTGAATGTAGAAATTCAGGGTAATGTAGTTCTTGGAAGAAGCAGATGGATTGAGAATTTTTGTAATAAAGTTTCAATAATACATTTAAATTGTTGTTGCTGTGAACCTCTGTACTGTATCTGAGCTTTTTGTAGCTACTGTACTATAATTATTGTCCACTTGAAAAGACAGCAAGGCTACAGTATATCATTTTCCCTCTGAAACATTGTGTGAAATGGACTTTGGTATTCCAACTGAGCTCAGTTTAAACAACATAGCAAAGCATTCATGTGTTTGGCCTAATGATACTTCTTCTTAATTGTATATACTGTGTAAATTCAAAAGGGCTGTAAACTTTGCAATGTGCACCACATAAGGCTGCATTATTAGTATTAATAGAATATTACGATAATGTTGCTATTGTTTTTTTAATGAACACTATTTTTTTTTTTAAGTTGGAGATATGCGGTCAAAGGCTGTTGCTGTTGCTGTACCTCAAACTGTTGAAGGTTTGAGACGATTTAAGCCAGGAGACAAGATTCGTGTCAAGAATTTACCTGTTGCAGTAATGGAAGTGGCACAAGACGGTCATGGAGGATGGAATGAGGAAATGGCCAAGGTCTGGTATTTGTTGTTTTAATGTTTTGAATAAAATATACTTAGTACATATTTTTTGAGAGTGACATTTTAAGCGTGATGCAACCTTTGCTTATTTTTCCTAAGCCTGGCGGTCATTTCATTTTTTTACCCAATCGTGGCAGTCCCGCCACGCTTAAGTATAGCTGGCGAGACCCCTGTTTTTTAACAAATATCACATGGTGAGTGATTTTGTGTACTCCTCATGTAAATAAATTGATATTTATAAAAAAACATACATTTTTTGTCAGTCTTTCAATTTGTGCTCGGTAACATTCGTCGATACCTAGAGCTGGTCACCATGCCGAGCGGTGTATTTACTATGCTGATTATCATTGTTATTATTATCATCAGCATTTTCAATATCAGTGTTGTAATAATCATCATTATAATTATTGATATCATATTTTTTTCTCTGGCCTGAATAAACAATTCAATTTTTATCTGACAGTCGATTGGTGTAGAAGGAATTATTCTAAAAACTGACCCTGACGGAGACTCGCATGTCGCTGTTAGTGGTCATATGTGGTGTTTTAACTCTGACCTTCTAGAATTGGTGCAGTCTGGCAACCCAGATAATGTTGGTAAGTTTCAGTGATTCATTCATTTATATCATTGGTACTGTAAAAGTCATTTAGTACCATAATATGGACATTTAAACTTGAAGTTAAAGGACAATCCGTAGCGTAGGTTTTCCATACATTTTTATGAGGGAAAATAGAGTTAATGGGTAATTGATAGTATTTACTCACCACAGCCACACTACACTTGAAATTTTGTTTGAATTGGTTGGCACCATAGATGACTGAACATGTGGCATCAGTGTGCTTCCAATTCAAACATTTTTACTGGTAAATTTGTCCATAAAAAGCAGTGCAGGCATTACTCTTTTTGAGTGGGGTTCAATGACTTAAAAAAAAACACCATATGTGGCAAAGACAAGCCAAACCAGTCACTCGTCGCAAGTTGTGTTTCAGAGAAAATAGCAAAAACATGCTAGAATGTAAAATTTTTAAAAATCTATTTTATTTCACTAAACTGAGGTTTATGTATCTATATATCATGCTGTGCTGTTATTTTTCCCAATTTCAATGTTAAAACAACACTTTTTAATGATTTTATGATAGTTTCTGCATGAGGAATGCCTGAAATCATAAACTTTGAAGGCTGATTTCTCATATATTGTTCTTTAAACAGCTGTATGCTTAAATTTTTGTAACTTCATAAGGAAATGTCGGATTTGAATGATTTTTTTTACCATTTTATAGCTCTTATTTTACTCTTTAACCCTGTATTAATAACTCAAAACTGATTTTTGCGACGAGTGACTGGTTTGGCTTGTCTTTGCCACATATATAGTCATAGACTAAACATGGACTGGAATGATGTTCATTAATTGAAAGAAGGCCAGCCTAAACAACCTAGGCTTAATCAGTGGTTTTTTTATTTTTACGAGCACAAAAATTTGACAGGTTGGCTGGTTTTTTTTACCAGTAAAGTTGACAGCTAAAACAGCTTTGGGAGAATAATGAACATTATAATTTCATATTCGTCATCATCTTTTTGTTGATTTTCGTTTTGAATACAAATATCTATTGCATGTAGTCTAATTTCAGGTGGCATGTAATTATACAGTAGGAAAAAATGAAAATATTTCTGCTAAAATGATATTCTTCATAATGTGAACAAACTTACTTACAATATTGACCTTCTGTTCATTGACAAAATTTTGATAGGTGTAAGCCTACTGGCTGATTTATATAATGAGGCTTTTCGTGAAGCTATCGGTGGAGATGACCCAAAAGCCCTCACAGTAGCTGCAAAACAAGGAGACCTGCCCACTATCAGGCAGTTATTGGACAAGCATGCTGAGTGGGTAAGAAATGTGTTTTGACCGACTCACAGGAGGCACAATTTACACATGGAATGTGCTAAGGAATATTTAACCAGTATTATCTGATACAGTAGAGCATGTAAGATAGCAGGGGTTCTATGTAGAGAAACACACATTGCAGGAGCACTCCAGATATATTTTATATCGTACCATGATGGTGATGGTATGCAACTTTATTAGGCATTATGGTGTTGCATGTATCTTCACTGTCTTGCTGTTGATACTAAAAATATTTATATTATTATTTCATTATTAATGTCATCATCATTTTTATTATTATAATTATTTTTATTATAATTATTATTATTTATTATTATGATTATAATAATTTTATTAAATCAGACTTAATAATAATAATAATAATAATAATAATAATGAAATAATTATGTTACTAAAACCTGCCTTAAGGGGAAATTAGACAATGGAGAGATTAGAGAACAATTGAAAAAAATGATGTTAAGGGGAAAATAACACAAAAGATATTCCCCTTAAGTCTGATTTAGTAAAATTATTAATTTCATTATTATTATTATTATTATTATTATAGGTGAACCATCAATGCACACCAGGTGAACTGACAGCATTGCAAATTGCAGCTCATGAGGGTCATGTAGAGGTCGTTGACTACCTCGTTGGCAGGCAAGCTGATCTCAACCTGAGAGATAGTGATGGTGACAGTGCTTTGCTGTGTGCTGCACATGGGTATGTTGTCTGTATTAGCATACATTAACTCCAAACCAAGAGATAAACAATGGTTCTCAATGCTTAAATCTTCAGGAATAAAAAAAAAACACAAAAAACAATACCACAATGCTGACAAAGAGTATTTCTTATTGAGCAATTTTTAAGCAACAAGGTCCCACATGACCAATTCTCTGCCTCCCAAGCCAACAACTTGGTTATTGAGCAACAAGGTCTCAAATTATCAGCTGTCCACTCCCCCCAGATACTAACTTGGTTATTGAGCAACAAGGTCCCACATGACCAACTCTCTGCCTCCCAAGGCAACAACTTGGTTATTGAGCAACAGGGTTTCAAATTATTAACTGTCCACTCCCCCAGACATCTACAGTACTTGGTTATTGAGCAACAAGGTCCTGAATAAGTGTGGTGAAGTTTTTGTTGTTGTTAGTTGTTGTAGTTGATTGTGATGTTATTATTTTATTCTTATTCAAGATAAAAGAATCTTTATTTATTATTTATTTGTATGTAATTTATTACAGAAACAAACCTGAAGTGATCCGATATTTGTTGTCATGTGGTGCTAATCCAAATCTTGTGAACAATCGTTTGCAAACAGGAATTTATATAGCAGCAGGGAAAGGTTACCATGAGTGTGTAGCAGTGTTTCTGCTGGAACAATTCCAATGCAACCCTAATATGCAGGTACGGGAGAAATACATCCTAACACTGCAGTGCAAATAATCAATTTATAGTGAGTTCTATTTATTGGCTGTGGAATTCAGCAGCACCCTGTTGATCTAGAATTGGTTTGCAGTACATCGGAAGACAGTTCTCTTCTTTTTTCTGGTGAATGTATTGCATGTGCTTTTTAACAGGCCAGAGGATTTCATAGGGGAGATTTGTATTAGAAGTCAGAAGTCTTGGAGCTACTAGGCTCATTAGAGTCCAGGGCAAGGTTTAATGTGGTGGTCAGAAGATGTCACTTCCTGGATCTCAAGCACTTTAGCATGTTTTGATGCAAGGAAATTGGGAAGTTTGGTTTATCAAGGTGTTTGCTTAAAATCAACCAAACCACAGAAACCCCCTCACTTCATTGAACTCGCCCACAGTACATTCACAAGGTCGTGTTTCTGGGGCTAATTCTGACATACCACACTTGAATTCTGACATGCGGCAAACGTCACACTCATTTCAAACTCATTTCATTCAAAACATGATGAAGTTGCTCACTCTAATTGTCTTTACAATCAATACTACGTGCACATTCTAGGAAAATTATTTATGACAACAACATCATAACATAGAAGTACACCACATTTTAAGAACTAATTTTTAAAATGGAAATTGCAATTGATGACTTTATTTATATCAATTTATTTTTTATTAATTTCAAATTAGGATGCAGATGGTGACACTCCACTACACATGGCAATCAACAAGGATTATGAGAAAACTCAAGAATTGTTGATCAATTCACCAAAAATTGACTTTACTATCAGTAATTTCAGAGGATTCAATGCTTTGCATCACGCTGCTCTTAGAGGTAGTGCTAAGTAAGTATTAAAGTGAAGTAGACCAAACCGTGCCTCACTCAGTGTAAATTATTGTAAAGTAAACCACACCAGGGGTCCCAAGTTAGAAGAAGTCATTTTGTGGGATATCTGTAGGGAGGCACTTTAAAGATGGAGGGTCTACCACCTCAGCTCCACCATAGTTGGAGCTGAAATAGGAAAATTTATGATTATGGCACTTCTGGATGGCCAGAAATGGCCATCTCAGACTTAAATTTTGAATATAATTTCCTTTTCCAACCTAC